CTCTACTTCCCTAACCTTGTCAGAAGATCAAAAAATAAAAAGCAGCTATCTCATAAAATTACAAATAAATTACAACCCTGGACAGGGAACAACTGAAATGTAGCCATTGAGCCATGTTTATAAGGGGCTGCTGTTGCCCTGATAGTTAATCACCTGTTTCTTCTTTGCTGACAAGGAAAAAACTTCTTTTTCCTTATTCTCAAAATCTTGTCTTCATTATTGGATTGCTATCAGGGACAAAGCAAAGACCAAATTTTTAGTAACATTACCTATTAAGATCATTTCTGTGGCTATTACATTTACAAATCAATTGTGTTTTTGCTCTTACTAATTTCATTTGATAACTATTACCTGTTAGTGTTTTATAGAAGTACTACTTCTAACAAACTAACCTGAGTTAAGACAATGAGACATCACCTTCAGGACAGATAGGATACATTGCTGACTTCCAGTAAAGATGTTAACTCATTACTTCCATTTCAAGAATGGTGGAACTGGCCTGCTAAATGTTTAAAACCAAAACTTCAAGACTAAAGCCAAGAAAGTAAAAAGGTAAAGGGAAAAAAAAACAGTCGATATTTTGGCCCTTGCCCTCTAAAGTCAGGCAGAACTCAGGGAATAACTGGAAATCTCTAAGCATCCTCCAACACTGGTAAGACACCTGACCACCCAATCAGAGTGATCATGAAAATCCAAGAGAACAGGAAGAAAATCAGTTCACATTCTGCAAAGAAGAGAGTCACTGGAGAAGTAAATGTCCCTGATGCTTCCAGGGGAACCCAAATGTGGTCAGAAAGATGCTGACCCATCCTGGCAGATGGAACAATTGGTAGGAGAAAATTAAAGGAGCCAAGAGGCTTCTTGCAAGTTCCTGAGAATAATTCCTGATAAATCTCAATTGTTTAGCAGGTAGAAAAATTTTGATTTTAACCAAATTGGTCTTAAGCACCTGGCAGGAGAGTATAACAAAAACACAATCAGACATAAACATTTAAAATGAAAATGATTCTTTTAATTTAACTTGAGTTGTACACTTGTGTCAGTCCTTCAGAATAAAACTGGTAGGCTATAAAGACAGGGTTCTTATATAGGATTGCCTAATAATTATCACAAAAGACCCTGCCAAAGTCATAAGTATTTTCTGAGTCAATATAAGACATACAAATTTTCCCAAACTTCTACTTAGGTAACTCAAACTGTTTTTTGCTGGCATGGTCATTTAGCTTCACTTTTTATCCCACAAATTAGTCCAGAGCATGTAATCTGGCATGTGGAAGATTTGACCAATTATAACCCAAAAGCTTTCCATGGCACTGAGAAAGGTGTTTCTCTCCTTAACCCAGAGGTACACTCATAAGAAAAGCTGTTTTGGAAAACTGAATGTCCTTGAGCCAGGCATGGTAGTGCACACCTGTAATCCCAGCAGCTCCAGAGGCTGAGGTAGGAAGATCACGAGTTCAAAGCCAACCTCAGCAATGGCTAGGTGCTAAGCAACTCAGTGAGACCCTGTTTCTAAACAAAGTACAAAATAGAGCTGGGGATACAGCTCAGTGGTGGAGTGCCCCTCAGTTCTATCCCTGGTACCAAAAGAAAAAACAAAAAGAAAAGAAAGAAAAAAATTGAATGGCCTTGGGTACTCTAAATGCAATGGGCTCAATGACATGGACTTCTACTCACCAAGGATGACCTGGCTATAGCCACTGCTGAGTGCCTGATTTGCTAGCAACAGAGACCAACCCTAAGCCCTCAGGAGATCAGCCAGTAACCTAGTGGCAGGTTGATTATATTAGACCACTTCCATCATGGAAGGGGCAGCATATTGTCCTTACTGAAAGAGACACTTATACCTGGGTATAGATTTGCCTTCCATGCACATAAGGCTTCATCCAAAACCACCATCCATGGTTACAGAATGCCTTATCCTAAAGTACATGTATTCTTTTATCCTAAATTTGTCTGTTTACTTATTTTTGTATTCATCTGTCTATATATTTTACATGTTATCTATATTTCTTTGTGCAAAAAATAAATTTCTCTTTATTTGTGCTTGTGTTTGTGTGTATTAAAGTCTTTTCTTAGACATTAGTGAAGCACCCCACACTGGAAGTAGTCTCTACACATTTATGTGAATAAATTTATATTATGTGTGTGTGTGTGTGTGTGTGTGTGTGTGCGCGCGCGCGTGTGCATGTAAATGTGTTTTACATCTTAAACATCAGGTCCTCATGAGAGGGGGCCTAATTTAGCTGCACTCATCCAACAACCTGGGGAAAGAGGGCTCAATACTCCATCTCTGGCATGCTTCTTTTTTTCTGCGACCTCTTTCCCTGGTCACAAGGCATCATTGAAACATTCTCATCTTGGATTTTCCTCCAAGTAGAAAGGTCTCAGGCACCTGGCTCCCCAGGCATGCAGACATTACTCATACCTGACCATTTAGGATATAGATCCAGTTAGAGCTGACAAAAACTGACATGCTCAGGTATGTGTGGCCTTCTGTTTCTGGAGTCATTTCCTTAGTCTTTGGAATTCTCCAAGGACTCTCAGTTCAGTCCTTCTTGACAATGCCCAGGGCCATATTACCTCAACTGTATTACTATTTCTGCAGATGTCAATTTATCTTCATCTCCTTGGAGATCCCCATTCCAAAAACAAATACCCGGATTTTACTGTATGTGCCCCTATTGCGTGTTCTTTAAGAAGTGATCTCACTTCTTCCACAGTTGTAAGAAAAGAACCAGTTTCCAATTAGGGTGATAGCATTTTGCCTAGGTTTGTGAAAAGAACAGTTCCCTGTTGTTTCCCATAAGCCAAAGGCTGGAAAGAACTGGCAGCCAGGAAATTCCTTGGCTGTTATGTCTCACAGCACTGCAAGCAGATGAGAATGGTGCCCATTAGTCCAGGCATAAATGCAAGTTTGTGTGTGTGTATGAAATAATATGTGTTTCATTTTGTTTTGTTTATATTTATCATATATTTAGGTATGTGTATTCTTATGTATACACCTATACATATTATCAGATCACTGTAGTTAATTATAGATATTATATGTATTCCTATATGCATATGTACATATGAGCATCTGTCTTCAACAATGCTGAAGCACATCACACTGTAAGTCTACATATTTATATGAATAAACTTCAATATTTTACTGTTAAACACATTAATATTTCTGTGTATGTATTTATATGTTACATATTCCTAGAAATATATTTATGAGTATATTTTTAGCGCATGTGTATACATATACAAATATTTTTCAAACTAGGCTCTTACTACCTGCAGTGACCACTTATTCCTATAATTGAGTGTCCAAGAGTTGTTTTAAAATCTTACCACACTCCTGGTCCAAGAACCCTACCTTGACCTATTGCTTCTGGCATTCCCTTTCCTCTACTGAGGGCCAACTTATCCCAATCACGTTGCTATCATAGCCACGGAAAAATAAGGGCTAAAACAGAGCTAATCTGGGAGAGAGGCCCTTACCTGGGAGAGAGGCCCATTCCAAGCACCAAAACCTGGATTGTATTGCATGCACACTTCCACAGGGTTTCAAAACAAGTGCCCTCATCCTGTTTAAATGTTTTAAGAAAACAAGTTCCACTGAAGATAATAGCACTTCAGCTAGATTTGTCCAAAGGATACTTCCCAGCTGCTTCCCTTCAGCTAACATCCACAAGGAATTGGCAGTCAGTAAATTCATTGGCTTTGCAGCTTCCAGCATTGCCAGTAGATTAGGAGAGTGCCATTAGCCCAAGCATACTTGCAAGTTTGTGCATAATACCATTTGTTTCATTGCACTGGGTTTGTTTATTTATTTAGAGGTGAGGTATTGCTCTGTTGTCCAGACTGGCCCCAAACTCCTAGGCTCAAGTGATCCTCCTATCTCAGTCTCTCTAGTAGCTGGAACTATAAACACACACCATTGCACCTGGATACGTGTGGATTTTTTACACGTATATTTATGTATATTCTATCTATATTTATCTATGTAAATGAAATTAAAGTTGTTCTTGTCAGTTCTTTTAGTCACAGAGTGAAAAAGCTGAAAGTATTCCTTTCAGTGTCTAGGGAAAAAACCCCACACGGTCAGGGACAGCTACATATTTATATGAATAAATATCCTACATGTTAATATGTTTCTGTGTATATTTAACTGTGTTACAAATCCCTCCCTATACATTCATGAATATATTTTTGTGTGCAACATATATATTTTTTTTTTCAATGAAGAAAACTACTATCTGAGGTGGCCATTTATTCCTCAGAGTACAATTGACTCCCTACCCAACAGGTGTTTAAGATCAAGTTTGCCCTGCAAGGTTGCCCCTAAGTTAGATTATGTATATCATCAAACCCACAAAGTAGAATCTTTTCACTGATTCTAACTTTCCAACATTTGTCAGCAACCTCTGTGGTTGTCAGAAGAGGTTATCAAAACATTGCCCTGCCTTGGGTTCTCCAACAGGCAGAAGGGCCTTAGGAGCTGGCTCCCTGGGTATTTCCAGTCCAAGCATTAATCAGAACTGACTAGAAGGGCTGTAAATCCAATCAGAGCAGGCCTAAAGGGGCTTGCTTTGAACTGTATGAGCTAAAGGAAATAGCACTCAGGTCCTAAGGTTATTCTCACTACAGCCCTGGCTTCAGTCTGTTTCTACTTTACAAATTCCTTTAAGGAGGGACAGAATGTACTAACATATTGCTATCACAGCTATAGTCACCAGAAGGGTGACGCCTAGCAGATCTTCCATACCTGTGATAAGAGAAATGGAGTAAACTAAAAGACCAGAGAACCGGAGGGAGGGAAGAGATAAGAGAAGGCCGATTTAACTCAGCATTTCAAGCTAAGTCAACAAAGAAAAAAACTGCTCCACATTCCTTGCATGTATGCTGAAGATTACCCAACAAGGCCACATCACATTCTGCTTTTGGAACCAACAAACCAAGAAGTAGCAAAACCTTCTCTTTATGGACTAACCTCCTATCCCAGCACTCTCCTGCTTTGTCGTCCCACCCCTCTTATCTATAGCCAATGTAAGCTCAGTGTAAATGATTTATTTCTTCTCCCTGGATTTTCAGGATAAAACACCCTGGCCCCTTAAGTCTGGTAGACATTTTTCCCCTGGCTCTCTGGCCATGCTGCTGGTGGCTTAGGGAATTTGTCCCAGGATCCGTTCTTCATCTTCCGGAGCATCTATACTGCTCAACAAACACTTTATTTTCAGAGACCTCTTAGTCTCAATAACCTTATCGGTGCAGCATTGGGATCTAGCCCTCTGAAGAATCAGGAAGAAAGATATTTTTCCTTGGGGCCAGATACGACATCAAGAATCACTTTGAGACTACCAGAGGTAAGGTGAGTGCCTTTCCAGGAGGCTTTTGAAGTCCTAGAACTAAGGTTCCTCATTTTAAATATACCATTTTAATAGGCTGTCCCTGGGTTTCTGCTGTTGAGGTCTTCAGTGGCAGTGGGAACTTTGCAACAGAGCTGTCTGTCATCTGTGTGGAGTTGCCAAACTGGAGCTGGTGAGTTATTGGAGGATGCTCCTCTATCTGGTATTATGATTTGTTAAGTTATTGTGGAAATTCCCCTATACCTGGTATTATGATTTGTTGAGTTATTCTCAAATTATATCTGATATTATGATTTGTTGAATTTGTTTAACAATTTGCTTGACCTGTTTCTTTCCATCTATGTAGTGTCTGCTTTAAATACTTTTAGCTCATAGTGACATCTTCTGGCCATTCATGTAATTTACAATTTGGTTTGGATTTGGCATTATTCTGACTGATCAAAGCCATTAGTTATTTTACTATTAAATGAGGATGAATGAAAAGTCCCATCCCAAAGAAAAGAGATATTTCTCCTTCCAATATCCATTAGGAAATTTCCAGGTGACTATAAATCTTTCAAAAAGTGTCGGGACTAATTGTCCCTAATGTGTAGCACTCTCCCAGGGACCCCAATGAAAGAACATACCCCCTCCCTGGGTTAGAAGGAATACTCCTGATCAGCAAAATAATGGATTGATTTTTCCATAATCTGGAACACCCTGACATACCTGACGTATAGAGCACCTGAGACACATAAAAGAGTAACCAACTGCCCAGTGGTGACACCATGGGGAGCGGTTCTCATAAGCAGTACATCTCTGCAAGACACACCCATTCCCAGGTTTTGATTGACTGAAACTCTTGTAAAGTACAAAGAAAGATAATATCTTTGCAATTGCCTGCATGTGTGACTTCTAATCTTAGAATAACTTTTTTTTTGTAGCAAATTAGAAAACAAGCAAAGAAAGCCCATTAGTTGGGAAGTTAAACTGGTGCTAAACCTAGTCGTAATCTCCAGACTCTAAATTTGCTCCTCACAAAATTCTCCTTCTTAAATAACTGAGACTTGTAATAAATTAAAACAGTGGTGGGAAGGATGGAAAACTCAAGAGATTCTGCCAGGTACTCTCCCACCCACCCACCAAACCTATTTATCCAACTTTTCTGTCTACGTTGGAGCACCTTCCCTCCCCTTCTTTTCCCTTACCTTCCCAGTCCCCCCTGCCAGCCCCTCAGAACCTATTTTAATGAATCTATTTAAAATCAAAATACAAATATCAGTGGTAACTTCTTCAGAACCCCTCCCAATGGAGCAATTGGTGAACATGAAAGAAAAAAATAGCTGTTAGGCCTAAAAAGACTCAGAAGACCAGAAACACGTGGGTGCTGCTAATACTTGAGCACCCACTGTTCTCAATCATGATCCATCCCAGGGTTAACAGAAAATAGATTATGAACCAGCCCAGGTTGAACATGGGACTGGTCACCCCCAACCCAAAATAAACAGAAAAAAATCCACAACTTATATTGTCTGGTCGAAAGCAGAATTAAGGGTTAAGGCCAAAAAAAAAAAAAAAACATCCCAGATACTTATAAAGATCCCCATGAATTTCTATGAGAATTTAATGTTATTATATGCTCCCTATAAGCCAAAGTAGCATGATTTATAACAGTTGATGTCTAGTACAGATAGGAGAGGGACAGCTTTGGATGCAACTTGCAGACTGGCAAAACTCCTGAAGTTTTCCTAGGGACACAAATAATATGGTCCCTTCTTTTGACAAAGCTAAATGCATCGCCAAACTGCTTTGGGAATATTTCTCAAGATTTTCTCAAACCTGTAGTTTGGTCCAGAATTTAAGATTCTCTAAAAAAAAAAATCTATTTATAATGACTTCAAACAACTCTGTCACTTTTTCCAGAAGACTTCTGGTTTGCCTTAATAATTCCAAAACAACTAAAACTGTCTTAAATTCAGTTTTTCTTAATGGACTAAACAAGGAACTATCTACTGTATCTAAAAGGGCCAAAATTGAAGGAAAGTATATCCCCCTGTCCAACTAGTGGCCCAGTTTGATTATTTAACCAAAACTTTTAATGAAGTCAGAGAGAAGGCTAATCACAATTGAATTTACAGCTGCAGCAATTATAGGCAAAAGCCAATTATTAATCTGAAAACAAACCTGAATAGTCTGTCATTACTATAAGAAACCTGGATATTGAGAAATGGACTAAAATTAAAAATAATTCAAAAGAGACATCCTAAACACATTGGCACCAAAATCCTCAAAGGTGAAATCTGACAGGACTCAAGAAACATAACAGCTGAATCCTTTTCTTCCTTTAAATTCTTTGGGGAAAACAACTATTCAAATGGAACTTGACCTTTATCCCATCTTAACAGACAGTGGGGCACCACCTTCTCTACCTTAAGGCCTGGTCAGATCCAGCAGTCCCTCCTTTCAGAGTACTAAAGAAATTAAAGTAGAATGGACTTAAATTTTCTCTCATTATTTCTTTCCAAGCCTGTAAGTTTTCTTAGCAATGTTGACTCATTCATTGCTTTCTGATCAATCCCTCTTCTATACATAAATATAGGCAGATATTTTCTCCAAAAGCATAATTCTGTAATTTTTTATTTTCCTAAGAAAATAAAAACTATCACATTAGATTATATCTCCTCTGGTGTAAACAATAGGGAACATAATGAGAATGGTAACTTTCTCTTTTCTCTCGAAATTAATACAAAGTATCTAGCTGATAACCAATCTTTCCTATAGCTTAGAGACCTTCCTGAAGCTTTATGGACTTTTTGCAGGATTAACATCAGAAAAATTTACAGTGACACCCACATAAAAATCACCATTGATATATCTAAACCTTAATCTCAAATTAATCAATATTCTTTCAGTAAGCATGCAATGGAAGGAATACAACTAATTGAAGAATGTATTAGGAAGAGATTAATCATTCCTTTATGAATCCTTAGAGCGTTCTAATATTGCCTGTTCAGAAAACCACATAATAGTTGGGTGTCATGGTGCACACCTGTAATCCCAAGGAGGCTGTGGCAAGAGAATTACAAATTCAAAGCCAGCCTTAGCAATTTAGCAAGGATCTGTCTCAAAAAAATAAAAAGGGTTGGAGATGTAGCTCAATGGTTGAGTGACCGTGGTTCAGTCCCCAGTACCAAACACACACACATAATAGAGTTCCGTTCAAGACTGCAAGCTATAAATCAAGTAGCAACCCCAAGGCATTCAGTCCACATACTGAATGTGGATATTCATGCAGGTATTCCACCAGAAAGTAGATTCTTTACAGTAACTGATTGATGCAGTGCATTATTTAATATCCCTGTAGATCTAGAAAGTCAGTTTTTATTTGCTTTTACTTGAAATAGTCTTCAATTCACCTGGACTATAATGACTTGGGGATATACTGAAAGCTCAACATATTCACAGACTTTAAAATGAGATTTGAGCAATTTAGCTTTCTCTGAGGAGACAGCTTTATTACCATATGCTGATGACCTACTACTCTGTGCTCCTTCCTTTTCAGTCCTTCAAGACAGACGGCTAAGAAACTGCTCCAAACTCTGGGCAGCAAAGGAAACATAAAGGTATCTAAGGAAAAACTGCAGTTTGTTGGTGAGTCTATTAAATATCTAGAACATATCATACATTCTGAAGACTCAAATTGAATGATAATAGTTTGGCACACATACAAAAATATCCTAGACCAACTACTCAAAGATGATTGACAGGATTTGGCAGACTGACAGAATACTGTCAAAATTAAACTCCTAATTTTTCTTTGATTGCTCAGCCATTACATGAAGTGATACATGCTTATATACCAGAACCTTTACTGTGATCAATAGAACATCTTTGGGTTAAAAGATTTCTTTGAGCAACCCATCAGCCTTAGGCCATCCAAACTATGATTTGTCTTTTCATTTAATTGGGCACAAATGGAAAGGCATTGCTTTCAGAGTGCTTACACAGAAACATGGAGAAATGCATATGCTTTGGGATATTACAGTCCACTGCTAGGCTGTGTAGTGCAGGGAATGCCTCTTTGCTTATGAGCAATTCCTGCTACTGTTCTTTTAGTAAGTCGCTGAAGACAGAGATGCAGACACCCCTTTATTTATGTTTCCCATGCAGTAGAAGCCTTGCTTGCTTCACATCACAGCCTCTATCTGCCAGAAAGTTGACTTTGTATGAGATAACCCTTCTTTTAGCAGTCTACTTCGTCATGAGGAGATGTCATATACTCAATCCAGTAACTTTATTACCCACAGAACTAGACAAAACCCTCATGACTGCATCTTATTAACTTTGTCACTCTTTCTCCTCCTAGGAAAGATTTAAAGGAAACTCTAATACCTAATTCTGATGGGTTTTGGCACAATTTAAATTCATATTTTAAATGTGAAAATCAAAAATACACTACTGGTTATGCAATAACTATTCCATTTAAAATTCTTGAGGCCATTTATCACATTTCACCTCGGCCCAACAATCCAGAACTTCATTCCTTAACATAGGACTATACATGAGCTAAAGAACTGGTAGCCAATATTTATGCAGATTCTCATTATCCATTTGACATGGCCCTTGATTTTGGAATGTTATAGAAACAAAGAGGACTTATCACTGCTTAAGGAGGTTGAGAACAGTACTTTTGTATTGGAACTACTGGATGTTATTTTGTTTCCCAATAACTTGACTATCATCAAGCTCCATAGATATTCTAAATTAGAAATGAATATGCTGAAGGAAATCAATTAGCTGATGTTGCCATACAAAGGGAAGCTCAAAATACTGACACTGTTGAGATTAAAATCCTTGCCCTTACACTACTCCCCAGGAGCATTAGAAACCACTGTATAAAATGAAGATTTCCTGGAGTTTATACCTAGGCTTTAGTTTAGTGCCTCTGATGAGAGAATTTTTGGAAAACCTTGGAGGTTTTATGGACTCCAAAAAACCTTTGGTATGCACCTTAAAAACTTCCTATATTACCTGGTTCCATGATGAAAAGAATATGATGCCAAACTATATATGACCCAGCTCTTTGGTCCACAAAGAAAATGTTCAAATTTGCCTAACTTTCCACTATTACTATAGTAGACCTCACCATTATGTATATCCACAAACACTAGTTTTAAAAAATGTAAATTAATAGAAATACCTGTAGAGTAGAGGAAAGGGAACAGCAGAGTATAGAAAGGGAAGTAAGTAAGCATTGGGGACTTAATTGGAGCAGACAATACTCCATGAATTTATAATTATGTCAAAATAAATTCTAATGTCATGTACAACTATTGTGGACCAATAAATTTTTTTAAAAAATTTTAAAAAAGAATTTGCCAAACAATATTTGGTGAAGCCAACAACATTCTGCTATCTCTGCATGTCCTATATGCCCCACATTTACAAAGTACAATTCAAACCTACCAAAACCCAGCTAAAGAGATTTAAATTACCAACAAATCCTTTTTAAGTATAGCAAATAGGTTTCATACAGCTGCCTCCCTGTATAGCTGTCGGTATGGTTTGCAGGTTTTTTCCCTGGGTGGAAACTTTCCCTGTCCACCATGCTACTGCCACCTCTCTGGCTAAAGTACTAAGAGAAAAGACCATGCCAACCTGGGGAACTCCTGCACCACACACTGACAGCTTTTTGTGAGACAAATTGTCCAATAACTGTGTGCTATATGGTCAATATTACAATATTTTCATTCTGCATACCACCCCCAGTCCTCTGAACTGGTACAAAGGTTAAACAAAATTATTCAAACTCAGCTAAATTTATGGAAATCTTTTTAAAAAGCCTGTCCTACAGTTTTTTTGAATTGAAGATCCACCCCCTTTGGGAAGCATAGACTTTGCCTTTGGGGAATGATAACAGGAAGGCCTATACTTCTTTTCTTTGTGCCCCTAGACTCTTTGGCTACTAAAGGGAGAATTCTTACATATTGTCGAGAGCTTATTAAGGTTGTTAATGAAAATTACTCTGTAGTAAAATAATCTTTTTTCACAGCAGCAAGAGGAGTGACTTTCTACGTCAGAAACCAGCCTGCTGATTTTGTACACTGGAAAAGACGTCTTTGTCAAAATTCTTTACCATCCTGCTGGCAAGGTCCTTTCTAGGCACATTCTGTGAATCCCTGTGCAGCCAGACTCAAGGGAATTAACTCCTAGATCCACGTTTCCACTTAAGAAGATCTGAACCCACTTGAGTGGTCTAGCACCCCATTGCCAACATCAAGCTTCGTCTGACCAGGAAAAAAAATAATAATAACTGACATTTTGAGGTTGACTACTTCTGCCTAAGCATCTGGAACAGGCCTGTGCAAACCTTAAACTACTAAAATCTTCCTATACATCCTTATGCTTTTTTAATAGTTGCTGTAGTAATTTTGTTCCTGGGAATACTTTTAATTTTGATTGTGTTACACAAAGCTGAACAGATTGCTTGTGTTTTAAATCATCTATTTCAAGCTTTTATTCTCACTATAGTCTCTAAAAATGATGATGAAAACATTTATATATATAGTTATGTTTGTCACCTTTACCCGGGCATGGAAAGACAATGCCTTAGTCAGAATTTCACAGTCTCTAGCAACTTCTGGAAATTTAACAAAATGTTGGATATGCTACCCCAACCCTCGTACCACTCGTGAACGTAACAGTCTACTCGTACAACCTGTTCTAAACTTTAGCTCAATTCCTGAGTGCATTGTCAATCAAACCCATCATAGCTATGTTGGATATAACCCCATAATCAGCTATCCAGTTCGTCTAGCACATTCCAGTCAACCTTTACCATGCTTTTATATTTACACTCGTATCCTTCCTCCAAAGTTTACCCATAAGACTACAGAAGAGGCCGAAGCGGCAATAATAAAACTTTTAGAAAAATACCATCAAGGATCCCTCAAAGGTGAAGGTCCAGATTTACCTGGGTGTGCTACTACTGACCCATGGCTTAATAACCTACGAGAACAAATTAGGCAAAACTTTGAGAAGTTTGTATGTGCACCCCCTGGCTTTATTTTTGTCTGTGGAGGAGATCACCACCCATGGGCCCGTAGATGCATTAAAGGGTGGATTATGAGGGGGCAATGCCTCCTAGGATATCTATTTACACCTGTATCCATAATTGATGCAGAGGAAACCCAACACTGGTCTAGTTCCCTCAAACCTCCCTCTGGATTCAAACAAGCCACTTTAAATGGTAGCTCCATCTACTCCTTTGGAAGAGCATTTTTGGCACAGTGGGATGTTACTAATCATGAGCAGATGATTAGGAACCTTTCTGTTACCTTAGGCAACCTTGCTGAAGAGAATGCTGCTTCCATTATAGCACAGCAAAAAGCTATTGACTCTTCACCCAATCTTGAATTAGACAGCCGAATTGCTCTAGACTACATGTTAGCAGAAAAAAGAGGCATATGTATGGCAATGAATGCATCTTGCTGTGTCTATATAAATATGTCTCATGAAGTAGAAACCCATTTAGAAACTATTAGAAAAGAAGCCACCTGGATCCAATAGGTCTCCAACATGGAACCTGAATTTAATCTGTTTAGTGATCTTTCTGGTTGGTTATTAGTAGAAATCAACTGATTGTTTAGAAAAATATTATAGATGGTTTGATATTTCTACTTTTGATTGTTATAATTTCTAAATGCTATACTTTTAATTTTTCCCAACTATGTAAATCAATAGAATGAATTTTAGGCTAAGATTATGCTAGCTCAAAAGATTGAACTACCTACCTATAACTTTCGTGAAGAAGCTATTTCTGAAAACATGTAAGAATTATGTGGGTGAATGGTTAGATGCTTGCTCTCTCTTCCTCTCTACCACTCATATTTGGACCAAAAAAAAACTCACTGTTTTTATCTACAAATTTCCCTCCTCCCTTGGATATAACTTCCTAGGAATGAACCTTCCTAGCCATGTGAGATATGACCTGGAACATAAAATGGCTACATAAGAAGCAATAAAATTAATACAGCATCCATCAGCAATGCTTACTCTGAAAGACCTCAATAAAAGGGGGAATGATAATTCTGGGATGTGTTAAGTTACAGGCCAGAGAATACAAGGAAGAAAGAGAAGTCCATTGAACTCATAGTTTCAACTTCAAGTTCAGTCAAGAAAGAAAAAAGAAGAAGGAAACATTCTAAATTTCTTGTCTGTATGCTGAAGACCACATTGTATTCTGCTTTTGGAAACAACCAACCAAAAAAGTAGCAAAACCTTCTCTTTATGGACTATCCTCCCAGTACTTTGCCTGCTTTGTGATGTCCTGCCTCTCTTATCTGTAAAAATGTAAGTTCAGTGCAAATTATTTGTGTTTCCTCATCCCAAAATTTTATTATAAAACACTTTTCCCTAACCTTATGTCTGGTGGACATTTTTTCACTGGCTATCTGGCCACGCTGCTGGTGGCTTAGGGAACTTGTCCCAGAACCAGTCCTTTACCTTCTGGCTAGTACCTATAAAACTCAATAAACCCTTTATGTCCAGAGACCTCTTAGTCTTAAGAGTTTGATTTAACACCTGTAAGAGGCTCTGACCATTAAATATAAATATATGCTATAAGAGCTCTAAGATGGGTACATTGATGGCACTTGGGCCATGTTTGTAACAAAAGCACTGTGGTGCTGTTTCCCTTCTAAAAACCACGAGTAATTGGCAGGCAGGATATTTCTTGCTCTTTTGGTCCCCAGCATTGCAAGGAAATCAGGATACTACCCACAGCCCTGGGGAATAAGTGCAAGAGTGTGTATATGTGTGTGTGTGTGTGTGTGTGTGTGTGTGTGTGTGTGAGTGTGTGTGTGTGGGAGAGAGAGAGAGTGTGTGTGTGTGTCTTTTTTTTGTGTGTTAATTTTATTTTAACATATATACACTTTTATTTAAACATTTATTGTTTTATGTTTAAATAAAGCATATATGCTTATAAAAACATATGTATTTACACAAAAGTAGTCAGTTTTAGTGTTACTTAAGTATACAATTATGTTTTTCCTTCATCATTGAAGAGACAACCCATACTTACAGGAACATCTACGTATTTTTATGAATACAAATTATAGATATATGTACACACACATTAATATGTTTATATATTTACCTCTGTTATATATTTCTCTCAATATGAGTATATTTTTATGAGTGTGAATGCATCTATTTTTTTCAAACAAGGATATTACTTGCTGAAGAGATTTTTAGGGTTTTGTGGTTGTTGTTTGGTGTTTTTGTTTGTTTGGTTGGTTTTGGTCCTGGGCATTGAACCCAGGGGACTTACTCACTGAGCTACATTTCCCAACCCTTTTTATTTTGAGACATGGCCTCATTAAGTTATTGAGAATCTCACTGAGTTTCTGAGGCTGGCCTCAAATTTATGATCCTCATGCCACAGCCTACTGAGTGGCTGGGATTACAGGCATTTACCACCACACCAGACTGAGGTCATGTATTCTTTTAGCCTAGAGTTTGACTACTCAAGAGATATCTTAAAATTTCACAGAGTTCCTGGTCCATGGCCCTTAATCAAAGCTCACTGCCTCTTGTTTCTCTAAATTCCTACTATGAACATGTCTTTTATACCAGATTTTTTTTTTTCAGTACAGGGGTTGAACCCAGGGGAGCTTAACCATTGAACCACATCCCCATCCCTTTTTATTTTTTTTCATTTGGAGACAGGGACCTATTAAGTTGCTCAGAGCCTTTGCTAATCGGCTGGCCTCAAACTTGCAATCCTCCTGCTTCAGCCTCCTGAGCTCCTTGCATTACAAGCATGTGTCAACCATGCCTGGCTTTCATACCAATTTGTGTCACAAACTGGGTAGGTTGGCCACATTCACCATCCAATCACTTTAGGAGACAGGGTCCAATACTCTGCCTGTGCCCTTTTAACTTTTATCTACAGCCTCATTCGTGGGTCAGAAGGGGTTGTCAAACCAGTTCCTTGCCTTGGGATCTTAGAGAAGTTGAAGGGCCTCAAGAAACTGGTTCCAATCCAGGCATAATTCAGGCCTGACCATTAGGACTATAAAAAAATTAAATTGGCCAAAAGTGGCTTTCTCAGGAACGTGTAGACTTAAGCTTCTGAGATCATTTTCTTAACCCTCAGAATTCCCCACAACTCTCAGTTCAGTCCATTCCTGATTCATCAGTCCATGGAAGAGTCATCTTACCCCAAGCACATCCCCATTCCTTACCTCAAAGAACCTCTCTCTCACCACAAACATCTGGATTCTGCTGTATGCTTCCCCAAAGGGGGGATTTCCTATTCTCATCATGTCTGAAAGTTTTAATAAAAGAGCCAGCTACAGCCAACTTGGGCCTGCCCCCACACAACCAGTACTCTGCCACTGAACAGCTTATTTTGTCCACAATATGTTTTGGGGTTATGGGGCAGGTGGCTGTAGTTGGGCTCCTTCACCCCGTGTTACCAAATATACTATATACCAGCCATACACCCAAGCAGAATTAGTAGACCAGGGCAAGCAACTTCACAAGGAGATGGGACACTTAGCATCTATCACTACCCATCCCTCTCTGAGATAACAACTGCAGAGCAGACATCGCAGTGGAAAAGGTAATCATTCCCTGATGCGTTGGATTTATACAACTGCATGGACCATGTGGACTTATATGCGCGTCCAGAAACTGTGAGTAAATGGCAATTATATGCTGATCTGGTGCAGATTTTGTGGGAGCTTGGCATGTATCAGCTGATATTCAATTTGAATACACAGGGGCTAGATGATGATTTACTAGTGGTGTGAAGGACTTGGTTTTACAAATGCACCATCTGCCACATTTGGGTCTTTGATGGCTATCTTAACCCCCTATGTCAGGTGCCCTATTAATGAAGTCACTACCATGGTGGCCAGCCTAGAAGCTGAAAGCAGATGGAAGGTGAAGGGTGTGTATAATGTGAAAGGGGCCCAGAAGCAAAACAAAGCAGGGAAGAAAGGGTCCATGTTTTATATAACATTTTTTACCACAATGACTGAGATGCAGATACCTACCTTGGAGGCCTCATCCCCAGTAAATGAAGAAATGTATCAGATATATAAGGTGGTGTTACAAAATTGCATGGCACTTGACCTGTTAATAGCAGCACAGGGAAGAGTATGTTCCATGCTTGGCACTGAGTGTCGTGTACATATTCCAGACCACCAGAAGACTATTAGTGTGGTTTTAGCACATAAGGCTTCTGAAGTTGCAGCTATACAACAGCTAACTGGTGACCCTTTGCAGGAATGGTGGGCTAGTCTTGGCACCACCTGGCAATGACTTTTTAGTTTTCCTAGGCAGTGGTACTTGTTTCCTGGTTGTATGTCACTACAGCTTATACTGCCCTTGGGGCCTGTGGATACAGGGCTCTGTCCTCCTCACTAAGGGATCAATGCAAAAGACATCAGCTACATGGATTATATGGTGAGGAACCCTAAAGAGGTGGAAATGTGGGACAGATATATATATATATTATATATATATATATATATATATATATATATGTTTAACTAAGTTACATATTTTTCTTCATATGTTTATGTATCTTTTATCATGTGTATATATATTTATTAAACAGGGCTACTGCTGGCTGAGATGACCATTTATGATTCTACCTAACACTAATAACCCAAGATATGTCTTAAAATTTTACAAAATTCCTGATCCAAAGTCCCCACCAAGCCCACTGATTCTGGGTTTTCCGTTATTGGTAGATATCAGTCAACCATGAGTGGGATAATTTTATAACTAGGTCTACATGCTGGCCTTCCACATATTTTCTTTTAAGAAGCAATTTTCCAAGCAGGCATAGTAGTGCATGCCTGTAATCCCAGTAACTTGGGAGGCTGAGGCAGGAGGACTGAAAGTTGAGGACCAGCCTCAGCACCTAAGCAAGGCCCTAAGCAATTTATAGAGACCCTGTCTCAAAAAAAAAAAAGACTGGGGATGTAGCTCAGTGGTAAAACACACCTGAGTTCAATCCCTAATACCAAGAAAGAAAAAAAAAGAGAAGCAATTTACCCAGACCAAGTCACTATGATATATTACAGTCCTTGTTATCCTCAGGGTTATTCTCAAGGCTGAGAATGCACATTCAAAGACTCTTCTGCTGATAAGAACACAAGTTACCCTGAAAGAGGGCTTTTGTGACTTTATACACAGTCCAAATATTCCAAGAGTCAGGAAAACAAGATAATTAGAAGCAAAGTCCACCAACCATAAAATATGTAAAAATGAGTTCCAGTTAGAACCAGTCAGCAAGAGCCAACATGACCAAGAATTACCTTTAGATCTTTACCATGTCATTGTAATCTCATTGTAACTGTAAATTTTATCCCCCACTCTAGGGTTTCACGTGTATACCTGTGGGTAAAATCATGCACAGCTGATTCTTACAAATCTGATGCCATCCTACTGTCAGTGAAAGGTTAAGATGCCATACCTGAACAGGATTCTCTAGGAACTTCTCCAAGCTACAAATAAGTAGAGAACAAAGGGGTACTATGTCAATCTCCTCCCTGAGATGGCCCCTCAGGTGTTTCTAATCCAGGTATTATTCAGACCGCCCACTAGGGCTTACTCTATTCAGTTGAAACCAGCTAGAACCAGCATTTTTCAGGAAAGGGTAGCCTTTCATGTTGGGGCCATTTCCTTAATCCTCAGAATCCCTCAACATTTTACAATGCAATCCAACCCTGGCAGAATCACCCCTTTAATTTGGTACAATACAACTTTACCCACACTCACACTGCTGCCAGAGTAACCTGAAGACTTAATTTTAGTTGATGTTCATTAATGGGTAGAGTTCTACTCCATGCATACACACCTTGACTCAATTGTATGCATCCCTCTTTTGATGTTCTAAAGAAGAGCTCTCACTTTGACATTTTTATGAAAAGAAGCCAGCTTCCCAATGAGGGTGATGGCACTTCAGCCAGGTATCATAAAAGGTCACTGCCCTCATGCTTTCTAGTAGCTATCAATCACTGAAATGGCCAGCAGAATGTTCTTGATTTGGGGGGGCTCTTAACCATCTGGTAGGTGATGAGAGTACACCAAACTTCAAAGTACTCCTACAAACCTGTTACAAAGGCTTCTGAACCACACGATCAGGTTAGTCACGGCAATGACCCTGTGTCAGGCTGCTCTGGCAGCACTATAATTGTGGGTAAGGTCAGATAGCATCAAATTAAAGGGATTATTCTTCCAGGATTAGACTGCATTGTAAGATGTTGGAGAATTCTGCTTAATAAAGAAATGGCCCCAATACAAAAGGCTACACTTTCCTAAATAAGCTGATTCTAGCTGGTTCTAACTGAATTGTTATGCTCAAATTCGGGACCCCCAAAAGACCACCAGAGACCTAGA